TTTGTGAATAGCCCTCTTGTCTACAGCGGGTCCCAGGCCTTGGATAACACTCAGAACACACAACAGTCTCCAAATTGTACTTGTAAATCCTCTGGTTTTTGGTTTCTCCAATTAGGAAACACGGATAGCGTTACTTGTGGGGCTTAATTCGCTAATAGTTTAAAACACTTTGAAAGATTCAGATAGCGCCAAAAGCACCAAGTATTGCCAGAGGTAAGTACTTTCAAGGCAGCTTTGTTATTTTTCTGGCTGCCTGCCACAGTGCTTGGAAAGGAATTTAATACTGCTGGTAGTAGAAATATTTGGTTTACGGGATTTGTATGCTCTACACGATTCACAACCTGAGAGATGGAAAAACAAAGTGAGCGCTTCATCAGGCCAGTTCTAGCACCCTCTGCAGAAGCCCTCGTCGCAGTCCCTTCCAAGTGAGATATCAGGATACTCGGTGGATAGTAAGAAAAAGGAAGAAAACTTAAGTCGGAACAGGGCACTGGCTTTGCACTAAAGGCAGCTCTGTACCTTATCCATTATATCTAGGCACTGCTTCCCTCTAGGAAGAGGGAGCTACAAGAAATGCCCTTCTTTGATGGGGGGAGTAACTTGCAATGTAGTTGCAGATATCACCCAGATATCCCTGTAACTGAGAGCATGGGGGGTTTGGCTACTCGCTGCCCTGCATCCAGAGGCAGTGGAGCTGCCTTCCTACGGGCTGTGTGCGGGAGCAGGAGCTCTGTCCTCTGCTGCCTTCGTTCCCTCGCACTCCCAGCTCCAGGGTCAGCGCAGGCTGAGCCGCACATAATCGGGCTACAACCGGCTGTGGGGAAATGCCTGAGTCGGGCAGATTTGGCAAGCGAAACATCCCCCCTCCACTGCTGGGCCTTGTGTGTGGAGCCCTAACTAAGCGGAGCTGCAGCTTCACAATCACCTGTGAATCAGTCAGGGTGGCTTCACGGTTTCAAGATGTCTGTAGGTGGATCTACGCACGTGTATGTCCTGTGTCTTTGCTCTGGATGACCACAGGTAATACAAAGCTTACCACTGCTAGGAGCCGACAGAGAATATTCCCAGCCTGCATGATGTTGCCCTTGGAATTCACCAATTGCGATGGCCCTGCACTAAGAAGAATCCAAATCCCCAAGAAGTAACAAAAACTATCACCAAGCACACAAACATTTTTATTTACCGTTTGCTTACTTGGCAAGGAACAGAAACAGTAAAGTCAGATTAATGCATACAGGTGGCGGTTACCACAGAAACAACAGCACAAAGAGTAAATGCAAGGTAAGCATCAAACTTATACAAATTTGCTTGAAAAATACACTGAATAATGAAGTCATTTTTCCCCCATGACTTGGGGAAAAAAATCAAGAATAGTCTTGGAAAAGAACCACAACTAATTGAGTAAGTTGTTTTCTATGAATATTTTTTTCTGTTCCTGCTTAGGCGTTAGGAGAAAATCTGACTGGTTAAAGACAGAGATTTGTTGACCTGCCTTCAGATAATATTTGAGAGCTGTGTTAGCAGAAATGAGCATGTACAAATTTTGTACATTTTAAGAATATTAACTGAAGTCAGGAATAAACTATTCTCTGATGGAGGTCTTAGACCTGCTTAACAAAGAGAAAAAATGAAGCAGATACTTTCCATGAGAGAAGTGTACAACCGAACTCCTGCAGCCTTTCATTTCTTGATCATAAAACTGGCCAAGAAGAGATTAAATTTCATTTACTGAAACAGATTATGAAAGGAAAATATCTCAGCCTTGTCAGGCAGACCCTGTTACAGAGCGTTAGCCTAGGGTTTAGTCTCACGTGGTGCCTGCCTGTTCGGCCTGGTGTCTGAAAGAGGAACTGGGGGATCCGCACGGCGAGGGGACACGCACCTTACTCCAAGTTCTCCGTTTGGGTCAACCTGCATGGGTAAAGCAGAGCTATGTGACACAGCACTGGGGCCAGGGGTTTAAGGGTTGGTTTCCACTTCTCCCTACATAGCATGAAAAGCACCCTTTCTGTTCCCGCAGGCAGAGCCAGCAGGGACGCGACGCTGCCAGGGCCGGACGCCCTTAGCCGCGGAGCCGCCCAGGCAGCCCTCAGCCATCCATCCATCCATCCCCCCTCCCATCCTGCACGGCACAGCGCTGGAAACCTGCATGGCTTGCCCAGGCAAAGGGGCAGTGCAGTGAAGATAGATGTCCGTGTCACCGCTTGCCCTCTTCCTGGATGCATTCCTCCCCACCATTCCCCAGAGCCGCATGGAGCACTTACCAAACCTGCCTGGCACTTACAGCTCTCCTGCTTCTGAATGTCCGGAGGCAACTAACTCCCTCCAACAGATGAAAGTTTGAAACATCTGAAAGAGTCAAACGCTAAAAGTCTCTAGGGTCACTGTTCCTAGGTACCATTTAAAACAAAGTTAAACCATCCTTTAGTTGGAAATTTAGGCTGTTCTCATAGGTTTCCAAAGGATGCTGCTTTAGCCTTAGTGTCTTTCTAGTTATATAAATTTTATTCTGACTCCTGCAAGTGGTGGACATTTTTTTATGCAGGGGGGTTGCTGATTATGATTATGATTTGCTTTTGTAATTGTAGAGATATAGCTAAGAAGAAAAATCCAGTGGTAAGTGATCAGTGCAAGGTTAGAACATCGCTCAAACATACAGCCCGAGCTGAGATCACACCAGTGATCTGCACACTGGTGCAGGACCTGATGCCTGAAAGCGGTGAGTTCTACCCAACGCTCTCTCTTAACATAATTCTTAACAAAACTCTTAACATAACTCTTAACAAAATTCTTTTTTTCAGAAGAATTTCAGCAAAACATATTGGTAGTGACGGCAGCTGTGATTAGCTACAGGAAATAATTCAAGAGAGAAGCAGAGATAACAGTAATCAAGTAACAAAACTGAAAGATAACATACGTTAAAAGAATGCAAGAAAGGACCTTTTAAAATATGGCTTGAGATATGTGCAGAAATATATCAGATTGCATTACAGGTGACATTCTCAGTACAAATGGAGTAAAAATTACATACCTTCCAGCTGTCCTTTTTGGGTAAGAATAATCTCTTGTTCCACTTCAGTGTGCAGGAATTAGAAGCACCTCCTTCCCTCTAGACCTTCCTAGATATTCCTCTCAACAAGAATAATACAAGTTTGCAGAGTCCAGCCCCAAGGACAGCAGCACAGAATGCACTGGAGGAGAAGCAGCAGCAGCTAATCGGTGAGAATGTGAAACTGCTGGATATAAAAACATATAAAGCAGATAAGGAAATTATGCATGGGCTACAAATGGCACTTGCATAGGGACACAGAGGGTTTGGGAGGCTCCCGAAACCCACGCTCGGCAGCGCAGCCCAGCTGATTTGGGTCTGGAATAAGCAGAGACTGTGGTGTGCACTCATCACCTGGGAGAGGTGAGCAGCTTGGGAAGCATGGGAAGAGGGATGCTTCAGGAGCAGAGGCTCTGGGACGTGCTGCAAGCGTGATGCATAAGCAAAGCCAGGAAGGCTTCGGGAAAGACAGATTAACTGGAGAAATGACAAGGAAACTCTGCCTACGCCGCACAAGTTGAACAATACTGCAAGTCTGCTCTGTATGCAATCAGGAGCAGAGCAAGCGCAGTGTCCTCTCACTCTGCCTTGCCACAAACATTTTGCTGAGGAGGAGGAGGAGGCCACCCTGCTCTCGTAGCCGTGCAGGACGGCATCCAGAGCCCGTTACGGCAGCTAACGGAGAGGCCGTGCTTGCAGCGTCACCTTACCCTGCCGTTACCTGTGTGCCCTTCGTAGAGGTCCTAGTGACCACAGCTAAAACATACCTGAAATTTCACAGGTGGCTAAGGAATCACAAATGAACTCTGGATCCTGTTCAATTGTAGCCAAAATTTGGTAATTTAATTTCTAGCGAGGCCAGTAAAGACAGGATCTTCAGGAAGCTGGCACCTTTACCACCAAGTATCCTTTTTGTAGCTCTGTTCCCAAAATATCAGGATCTGCAAGTTGCTTTAATCATACCAGTGCTCAGACAAACATGATGTCAACTGCAAGCCCAGCAGGCCACCTTCAGGAGCTCAGATTTCTTTAAATTACAAAAACACACTCTGTACAAGGAGCAGCAGACCTTTCACGTCAATGTTTTATAACCCAGGTCACTGTTAGTTTTTCAGTCTGTACTTAGGATATTAGTCTTAGCTTGGGTGACCTAACACTGCTGTACAGATGTCTGGCATAGAATATTCTGCAGTAACATTAAGTAGCATCAATTAAAGCACCTTGCGACTTTTGAATCAAGGCCAGTCTTATCCTGCCAATGTTTAACATCTTATAGAAGATAAAGATTATTATTTTGCATTAGAATTCATTTAAAAACAGGTAACATCAGTCCCCTTCCCATTCCTCTTCAGTGTGCAGCGGACTGTTGACATTTTGAGCACTGGTGTCTTCATATGGGAAAATCTGATCATATCCAGTGTCAGTAAAAGCAAAGTATTAGATAGGTCTTTAAAGAAATCTCCAAGAAAAGGCAGGCAGGCAGGGGGAAGGGGAAGGACCCTCAGCTGGTATACATTATGTTATGTTTCATCTTTTACTAGGGATTTTATAGTTATTACAAGGTGCCAGGAGATATTTTGTAGCCTCTGGTGTATGAAATAGATCCATGTGTCACTTAGTATTTGGTCTAATATTTTAAGAATTAAAAGAAATGTAGAATGTGTGTGGTAGATGGACAGTTTCTGACACCTCAGTTGTTTCACTCTGTGACAGGCTCCTCTCTTTCCAGTGATGATATTTGTGAAGTAAGCAACTAATGCAGTGGAGCTTTCCCTGCCAAAACATTAAATAGTGGTGACACATCCTCTTCACTGCAGTATGTGTTTCAGTTTATTATATATATAATATATATAGTTATTACATATATATGTAATAAATATATATATTACATATAATATATATATATTTAATATCCTATATATATATCATATATATATGTAGTAACTATATATATTTTATATATATATATATTTAGGATACTAATTAGGAAGAACCCAACAAGAAACTAATAACAAAAATAGAGATAACAAAAATGACTGACATAATATTGTGCTGTTGCATAAACACTTGATCAGATGATTCGGGGCAGCTGTGTGTGTTTGCTGTAGAACAAAGCCGCATCCATCCTACTCCAACGGGTAGATGGGACTAATGTTACATGAATTGCCAGCAGCCTTAAACACAGCCGGAGAAGAGGCCAGCTCCAGGCAGGGATACTTAAGTGCGTGGTCGTGTTCAGACTCAGTCTTCAAGGCTGTTGAAGCCCGGAGTGTGATCACGTAAACCCAAAGGGTGAAATTCAGCCCGGAGCGAGTCCTCCAAAGACACGCTAGCCAGTAGGTGGTTCCGAGGAAGCCAAAGAGCTGGGCCTTAGGTGTATTCCAGTATTGCCTGGGCTCTAACCGGCTTCTCCACATAAGGCTGAAACGTGATCCGCCAGCAGAACTGAAACAAAGAAAACCACATTTCTGAAATGGTGCCGTTTATCATATTGATTCCATGTCCTGCTGTTGTGGAGCCTGCTGGATTTTACATGAGCTGTGGTTTCAATAAGATGACCTCTGTGGCAAGTCTCAAAGTTTTCTTAAACCCAAATGCCCTTTTCGCTTGAGGATGCTAAATGAGCAACAAGTTTGAATAACGAGCTCTTTGCAAAAATGACATCACAGCTACTATCACTGCTACACAACAGTCCAAATGTCACCAAGGAACTGGAAATAAAGGTCAGTTTTCAAGGCAAGCTCTCTATATCTCTTGGGTTGGAGATATAACATAGATCCAGAAATGTGTGTTCTGCCTTACGCATTTTGTATTACTGGTCAGAAGGAAGTGGTCCTACATAAGTTAGCATACACTCGCTAAAAGGCAATTTTATTTTGCTTTTTGATTGGGTTAGTAAAGGCATCGGGAGCATCAAGTTTCAGAGAACCTCTTTCCGTCTCCAAGATGGAAACGTGACTCTGCACAGCGTTTGTGGCTGGCCTAACAAACGGCGGAGAACTAACGTTGCGCTGCCCAAGAGCCCACTAATGCAGCTCTCATTAGCAGCTGCACGCCGGGAGGCTGCGATGAGGGGCTGGACCTGCGCTCAGGGCTGCTTGTTCCGCCAGGCAGAGCTGCACCTGGAGAAGCTACGGGCACTTCAAGCTTACGGGGAGCCAGCAGCACAGTTCGGTTTCACAGACAAGTAACAGTAGGTCCTAGAAACAGTTGGTCCAGGGGATGTTGCTGGCATTGCTGGCTGCTGCGCTCTAAGAACATATATTCTGCCACATACCTTTACTTAGAGCACAGATTTCCCTTCTACTTACAGCACAGTTTTCCCTTTTGATCAGAGAGCATTATTCTAATTTCACATTGGGCAGCACATACCCCTGTTAAGGCCATCACTCTCCCTTGTCAATATCCCTTGACATTTCTGTATGGTCTACAAAAGTTTTTCTTCCCCAGAAGATTCATATTTCAGAACAATTACAATATTTATGAGTGGAGAGCTGACATTTAAACAGCAGAGTAACTATGGAAAGCACACTGAGCTACTGGGAGACACTGGGAGACGCTGTGCACACGATGCAGGAAGAAAGGCTTTCCTGCTGCAGGACCACAGAGATCTGCTGGGCATCCGCCGTGTGTCTCTCAACTTCCATTCAGACCTACAGCACTCAGCAATTCAGAGCCTCTGCCCTTGGAAAAGGTGAAGAAGGGAAAGGACAAGCATAATTCAGAAGGATCCTACAACGTGTTTTGGGGAGTAAACAATCTTTCCGGAGTGTACAAGGCAGCTGGGAGCAGAACCAGAGCCCCGTGCCTTCCCCAGGCCTCTGCTCCAAGGGGTGCTGTAAGCTGGATTTGGACGGGCTATCAGCGGCACCTCATCAGCTGCCAGTTTTGCGTGAGCGTATCCACGAGCCCCTTGGAGCTCGTGCACGTCGTGTCGCGCCGTCAGCAGGCGCGCTCGGGTTGATCAGCAGCCTCCTGTGGCCTTCCCATGGCCGGTGAACTGCCGCGTGCCCAGCGCCAGCACTCCCCTCGGAGCAGCCTGGCCAACAAGCACAACGCTCAGGTAAACACATCCTAAAACCTCCGCAGCTCAAGGAAAGAGGAGGAAAATAATCTTTGCTTACGTTCAAGGCACGACTTCATACTCCGACATCCAGACAAAGCAGCTTGAAAGGGCTTTTTGGTTTTTCCCTGGGTTTCTTTCCCGATAGTTCGATATTGATAGCTGCAGTTTTCTACTACGTTTATGTTGACTCAGGAGGAAATACCCTTTGCTAATCTAAGTAATAGCTAAATGACCTAAATCATGTTTAAAGCCATATCATACTTTCTCAGCCTGGGTCTTCAGCACCTGCCACCTGTTACATGGAAAGAGGCAAAGCAGCCTGACTAAAGTAACCATAAACCGTGGGGGAGGCAGAGGGGAGGGAGCGTTAAACCAGCCTGCATCTGTGACTTCCATCATCACGGGCAACGTCATTCAACACTTCAAGGGAAAAGAAAGCAGGGAGATAACTCTGTGCAAGGCCACCATGAGATTAGAAGACTGAAGTGGTTAAAAAAAAAAAATTGTTGACAGAGTCTTTGTACCCTGATCTTTCTCCTGCCAGACTAGAAACACACACCCAAAAGCATCCAAAGGGCTGGCAAACATACTGATTTGAGGAGACTGGTGTAAGAGTTGGGCTGGAAGCAGAGTGTGTGAACAAATAGGAAGCTAAATTGATAGTGGAGGCAGCACATCAAAAACACTCCTTTCAGAAGGAGAAACCATTTTCTATACTTTTGTACATCTCACCCTCCCTCAGACATTCACTTTCCAAGTGTTCTTTGCAGGTGCTTATGGTGTTGCAGAGCTGTGCAGACCACGCGCCTGGCAAATACTAACCTGGGAGACTGTCAGTTTTTCCTTCTTTCTCGCAAGTCCTTTACCTCTTTCTTGAAGTCCTTTCTCCTGTCCTATCCTGAACTCCTAAATAAATTATCAGTAGCATTTTTAACAGTCTTATCAGCCCCAAACTACTATTGGTGCAAAATAATGCCTATTTCGTGGTGAGAACTTTGCTGTTTTCTAACGCCTCCTGTTTTTCTAGGTCCATTTTACTGACTGGAGTCCACTGTGGCAGTAAGTTCTTTTAAAGGAGTTCTGCTTTGAAGGTTTTTAGTCCAAGCATTATTTTCTTTGGTATGTTCCCAAACTGGCAATTAGTAAGTAAGAAGATGCCTAGCACAGTGAACTCTGGTCAAAGGGTAAGGCAAGCTGCCAAGTCCAGACTGCAGAGAAGCGAAAGAGCAAATTTGGTCAATCCAGCTACATTTCTTGTACTATTGTGCTACCCATGTACTACCTCATCCTGGCTTAGCCCTGCTATTCCCCCTTGGAGCTCATGTTTTCCATAGCCCGCCTTACCAAGAACTGGGAGAGGAGATCATTTCTCAAATGCATATTCGAGGGATTAATTAGCTGTAGTTTGCAGATGTTAATGCATTACTTGAGATCTCCCTTAACATCATCTCAGCAATAAGTGTATTTGCTTTTTTATGTTGGCTTTGAGAAATCAGAAACTTTTTCTAATGGCCTGCAAATTATGAGAGGTTTCAACCTAGCTAGAAGAATTACAGATCTGAGATATGAGGCACTAACGACGGTCACTTCTACAAACACAAGCCTTGATTTTAAGAACTAGCAGAAAATACTCTTCCTCATTTATAGGTGGAGACTGTTATTACACACTGTACTGTTCAAAATATCAAGAAAACCCTCTGAATTTTGTAACTTTAATGACTGAGAATTACATCAACCATGTTGATATTAGGTAACATTGTAACCCCTCTTCCCCAGTTTTTGTTTCTGATTACCTAAAGGAGGCTTACAAAATCTTGCAGGTATTTGCTAACATAGTAAAGAAAGTATTTAGCTTTTCTACTTTTGAAGAAAGGACACTTTACACAACTAGCTTTTTATCAGACTCCTTCTGCAGCTCTTAGTTATTTACCATATCCCACTATTGCTTTTTTTAAAAAACCTTATGAAGAAACCTTCCCAGGCAGTACCTTGCTAAGGAAGGAACGTTTCCTTCCCCTAAAGGAGCACCAATATAGGTAAAAACTCATTTTTACCTATACCAAATACTTGACCTCATAGAGCACGAGTACCAAGTGCTCTGACATGTCACGATTGAGGCATGTGAGAATGGAGACCTGAGATACAGTCTCCATTGAGAGCACTGGGATTGCTACTGTAGCCTTAGATGCCTCTTACAAGAGTAATCTAGGCTACAACATGGGCATTATCAGAGCAAAAATTAGTGCTCAGACAGAAAGCAGAGGACAAGAATAATCTGCCTTTTAATGTTACTAGAAGCCTACAACAGAAATGTTTCCTAATCACTAGGGTCAGCCCAAGTCGCTGTATGAAGAGAGTGTTCATGAACCCTTCCACGTCCCTTTCCCCACATCTGCAACAGCCCCATTGGTTGTTGTAGTAGCTTATGAATTTTGCTGGAAGCAAAGTCCCAGGCTGTCTCTTGTAAGGCATTCTGCAGCTTTCCATAGGGCACCACCACATACCCTTCCTCCAGATTGGCTCTAGGTGTTGGGTTGCTCTACCCAACACCTATAGGACAAAGGGATACAAATTCAAACACAGCTCTTTGTACAGAGAGGAAAGAGACCATACAGAGGGCACCGCTTCCCAGTCAGGACATGAGTTGCCTCCATAAAGTACCCTCATTGCCTATGACACAGCCCAGTCTAACCCGAAACCGCATCCCCCGCCCAGGGCAGCGCCACAGTGCGAGGTTTGCAGCCAGCTTCCTCCACAAAGCCTGGTTCTGCTCTACTGCAGGGGACTGGGACAACTGGGCTGACCTGGAGAGCAGCCTGCTTACTTTGAAAGCAAGGGGGAGGATTTCTATAAAGCATCATGTGTGCTCTTCAGTCCTGTCTTCATTTATGAGTCATTAAAAATTAGCTTGATTTTAAGCAGGGATTTTTCCAATGCTCTTTTATCTTTTTTCTCTTTTTCCCCCCTCCAAAGCCTGCTCTATCCCTTTGGTCTTACCATGCAGCCCCAGGGAGTGTTCAGTTCCTAGGAGGGCTTGTGCTAGCAGAGCACATGAAAAGCAGCCTTGACGGTGGGTGGCTTTCTGCTGTGAAGTGTGACACCAGCCTCCACCTTCCTCCGGCACTCGCACCTGCTCCATATAACTCACAGCATGCTCCTAAAAAGAGCTAGAAAAAGCCTTTGATACAAGTTCATCAAGGTCTCATTCAGCCAGAGGGATACATATCACTTGCTCACAACGAACCTGCCAAGAGGCCACTCTGCTTAACACAATGGGTTGCAGTTTTGCACCGGTGGATTTTCAGCTGAGAACCAAACAGGTGTAACAAATCAGTCAAAATATACTCACCACATCAAACACTTCAAATAATAACAGGTCATGAGAACCCTGTGAAGCTCTCTGTTTGCGTCTTACTGAATGCAAAAAAAGAGCATGTATACAGCAGGTTGTTGCATTTCAGCAAGAAAAGAAAAGCCTGTATTGAGCCTTCTTCCATAAAAGTCAAAAGGACTTTTGCCGTATGCTTCAAAGCTCTCTGGCCCCTACTAAAACAGAGGGATTAATTTATTACTTTCCTTCCTTTCTCCTACCCCGCTCCATCAGCTGCCCTTAAGATCAGTAAACACAGAGTGCAATTATGCCAGAGAAGCAGGTAGGAGACAGAGCGAAATGGTAGGAAGGAAAACAGGTATTAAAATATTTTCCTGACAGTCATTTTAGCCCTTTCAACCTAACATCAGCTTGCAAATAATAATGAAGCAAGATGATAGGATTCTGGCCCATATATTCTGTGTATGTAAAACGAACAAAAAAGGATATACACATTTAAGGGTTTTTAAAGTACCAGGTTGAAATTGATGCCAGCAATAAGTTGAAGGGTCAAATTCAGATCTGAATAACACATGATGTAACACTGTGGATGTCTGTAGGATCTCCACAGAAGAAGCAGTCCCACTGCTCTTGCATTCGCAATGTAGAATGCCTCTAGACTTGGAACCGTTCTCACTTCCTAAAGGATTCGATTAGCAAATGCAGCACCTTGCATGATCACACCTAGCGTACAGGCAAGAACTGATTCCAGTTGTTTATGTCCAAAGAGGCCCAGACTAAAACAAGCATTTCTTAACTTCCAAGTCCTGAGCTTTCAAGCTTCCTGCCATTATTTTAGTGAATAAACTGACTTTTTAGGGCAGAGTGGGGAGAAGCACAAACTTTTCTCTCCCTCACACTACTACTTAAATGTTCATTGAATCTTTTTGCTGCTCTTCTGCCTTTCAACTGTAAGATTCTCACTATATGTTGGTCCAAGTATGTTTGCTTAGTGAATTTAAACACTTGACGAGTCCATAGTTCCACTTTCCTCTCTCGTCTTCCCCAGCACCTTACCAGATTTCAGTGAAGTCACCAGTTTTTCTCCTCATACAACCAAGATTTTCTTTTGTTTCCTCCTCCATATCCATATCAGCAATTTTCAGTCCTCTTGACTGGCATATTTCTAAATAAATCAATACTTAGGCATATGCCCCCTGCCCCAGGAAATGTTTGGGTGAAAAGCTGATCTGATAAAAGATATTATCATTTCTCAGCCAAACACATCCATATGGTATGGACAGAATAAAGGTGCTTACTGTGGAAAAATAAAGGGATATTCTTAGCTGGAGCTGTTGCTGTTTATTAATCTTGCCCAGTCAATAAGAAACAAGCTTGCTGTGCTCCACCAGTTTCCCACTGACGTAAGGGAACATGCACAGCTGGTTGAAATGAGCCCTTTCTCTCTGACGAACATTCAGTAATGGATTTGCTGCACCTAAAGCAAAGCCTTTTTTCAGCACTTGTTTTAGAAAAGCAGCCGCCGGTTGTCCACACCCCAGCAGTCTGCGTAAGTGCGTTCATGACATCACCATGTTTACTAAGAAAGTGGCAGATGGTAGTTATTGTTTTTAGGGGGAAAAAAAAAAAGCACATACGCATATTGTAATTATGTTCAGCATGCTCCCATTGAAAACATCACTTCCTTAATTTAGTAGGGGATATTAAAGTTTGATTTAAAAAATATATTTCGTGGGAAGTATGGCAGATGAATTAACAAGCTCACACACAGGACCAGTGTTAAATTCCTGCCAAGAAATGAAGAAAAGTAATTCAGGAAACTGGAATCAGAGAGCATGGCAAAGTGAAAATCA